GCTCAGCCTCTAGGAATCTGAGGAAGGCGAAGGACCACTAGAGGGATTCGGTGATCAGCTGCCGATGTTAACCAGAGGGAGTTCAGTTAGAGTCACCTTGGGTAATTAATAGGAATTACGAACATGTAAATATCACATTTAATAGATTTATTTTTCTGGCTGAGCTGAGGTGCGGCATCAACAGAGAAGAGTGAATAGTAGATGAATGGAGGCATATATGAAGGGAAAATTGTATGCAATATTTAACTATACTAGTAGATTTGAACACGACCACGACGCAATACATAAAGATATCTGCAGGAAGGCGGGAGGATTACAGGAAAGGGGATAGAGGTGAGGACGGGTCAGGAAGAATTTGGCACATGCTGAAGGCATATAGAGGATGTCCAGATGACCAATAGTGCGAATGGAATGAGAACACTGGAGTAAGGCGAATGTCCCAGTGAGGTAAGTTGTAGGGAGAAAGACTCCCAGGGTAGAAGGTGAACATCAAGGTATCTAGATGGTATAAAAGAGTGGAATGGTCCGGACATTTAAATACAAGGCAAATAATATTATGTGAGAACGAGCGAGTCAGGAATGTAGTCCAGATAGAATTCTGGTGAAATGACATTGTCCTGATGCAGGCAGCCCCATCAAACATCATCCCGACATAGGCAAGCAGGGTCTAACATCGATTGGACGCAAGCCCAAAGGATCAGAGGTTGTCTAGATGTAGATGCCAGGGTGTGGAGCATTGTTGAGATGCAGAGGAAGAAGGAGTCAGTGTCAGGACGTCTTCAGGACGCGGGTTGGGATGTAAGGAAAGTCAGGACACAACATCCAAGCGATGTTGCATCCTGACTCGCTGTTCACTTTTTGCAGGTCCTGTGCATCAGACACACAGAATGCACGGAACACAGGTAATGATTTTTACCAATGTAAGAGAGATATGTATGATGACTTACAGTGTTCGGCGAAGACAACTTGGTAGACTTCAAAGTTGTCTAAGCCAATCGAGATTCATTTCTGTAGATGGAGATTGTCTAGGAAGGCTTGGACTTGGCCCATTTCGTTTATAACTACTAGGAGCAAAGTAGAATAGGTAATGTAGAGTAGAATCGTAAAAACAATATTATATTGTTAAGGTCTCTTCTCCGTTGCTTGATGATGTCTAAAGCTTTGGGAGGCACTTCAATATTTATATTCCGCATCTGAGTGTTCACGGACTACATCTATTTATTATACCACTATGTACTTTTTCAATTGTGATTCCGCGACATCGAGTTTTCTTCCAAGGTGCAAACATCTGTAGACCCTGAAAACCATCACACCCTCTTTGTTAATTACAATATTTCTTCTTAGGAAGCGTGCTGTCCCCAATAGTAATATCCCGATTAGCAGAGTCTTTTAGACTTATGGCCTAGTTCTTAAGTCGAACTGAGTTAGCTCCAATTATCTTCGCCATTGATAAAATGATCAGTTTTATCCGCTGCTATATCTGCAAAGGTGGTCATTATTACAACCATCGTAGGTCGTCTGACTCTGATCTTTTGTAACTCCATATCCAACCGATAGATTTTCTTTGGATAACTTCCTATTAACTCGCAGGAAGCTATTCCACCAGATTGGTAATTAATCCCTCAGTCGGCAACCCTTGGTTGCTCTCTGGGTAGTAGGTTTCAGTAACCATTGTAGTATTGAGAATCACCCCATGGCTACAATATGTTCCGAAACCCAGTTGTAACACTCCGTGAAGTTCGTTGACTTCTTTGGTAGTGTCTTTTGGAGTTCTAGACTCTTCTGGTGGATGTAAATGTATTGGTCTCTAGTAGAGATCCTTTACCATTTGATACCATCTCTTTGTACGAAACCGTCCCGTTACTTACAGCCCATGCCAAAGGTGTCATGTCTTCGAAGCCTAGTAACTCTCTGAGTAGTTGACGAAATCACTCCGTTCCACTTCTCAAACCTAGCCGAAGGTCCCCTCTCATATATCCTGTGAACACGATCCGGTCAGACAGACGGCGACAACATATATGGAGGTATTCTAATACCTTCACTTCTGTGGTAATATAGTCACAGGACGCAACTGAGATTGATATATATGACACGCAGGCCCTGTAAGGGAGCTGGAGGGGGGTGTTGGAGGCCAGAGATTCCGATTCCAAGCGGGGTTACCCTACTTAGGGTGGTTTCTAGGTATCGGGTTCTGGTATTCCTAACATACCAGCCCTGTAAGGGAGCTAGAGGTGGTATTGGAGACTAGAGATTCCCATTTCAAGCAGAGTTACTCTACTTAGAATAGTTCCTCAGTATCAGATCCTGGTACTCCTAACAGAAACATAACCAATTATAACATAAACAAATCATATGACTCAATTAAGTCATATGCATGAAACCTGTAACTCGTAATCAAGTCATGTGCAAAATCCTGTCATATCCATGACACTGATGCTGTTGGTAGTGAATAGTATCTTCTCTATATTCTTACCTCTCTCACTTAACACTTATTACACTTTCTCTTCATACTATGTCTGCTGAATATAAGTACATATTTAGCAGGTAAAAGGTATTTGATCTTATTAATTCTATTTTCTTTAAATCAAACTTAATAAATCAAAATATATAGAATTAAATTTAAATTAAGAAGTATATGAAGAATAATAACTAACTTCTAAATTTAATATATTATTTAGTTCTAAAGTTTTCTTAAACAACTATCAAAATTCACTTAAGTGTACAACTATGTTAGGCAGAGACAAGTTGATAGACTTCAGAATTATCTGGGCCAACCAAGATTTGTTTCTATAGACGGAAATTGTCTAGGAAGGCTCAAATTCAAATGATTCATTTATGGCTACTAAGAGTAAAGTAAATTCAGTAAAGTAAGATAGAATTGTAAAAACAATATTTTATTGTTAAGGTCTCTGTACCGTTGCTTGATGATGTCTAAAGCTTGTAAGGCACTTCGATATTAATATTCTGCGTCTGAGTATTCGCAGACTACATCTATCTATTATACAACTATGTACCTCTCTGATTAGAACTCGCAACGTCAGGTATTCATAAAAAGTGCAAATACCTGAAGACTATGAAAATCACCACACCCTCTTCAGCAATTACAATATAACTAATTAGAAACCATACTGATCCCAATAGTAGTTATCCAATCATTAGAGTCTTTAGACTTATGGCCTAGTTCTCAAGTTGAACTGAGTTGGCCCCAATTATCTCCGTCATTGATGAAATGATCAGTTTCATCTGCGGGTTGTATCTGCGAAAGTAGGAGTAATCGCAACCTTTCTAGGTCGCCTAACTTCAAACCATCAAAACTCCTTACCCAACTGATAGATATCTTCCGGAGGACTTCCTACTAAAATTGCAGGAAGCTAATTCACTGGATTGACAAATAATCCCTCGGTCAGTAACTCTTGATTGCTCTGGGTAACAGGGTTTCAATTGCTGTTATAGCATTTGGAGTCATCCCCACAGCTACAATGTATTCCAAAACCTAGTTGTAACATTCTGTGAAGTCTATTGGCTTCTATGGTAGTGTCCCTCAGAGTTCTAGACTCTTCTGGCTATTGTAGAATAGACGTGAATGTATTAGTTTCTCGTTGAGATCTTTCATCATTCAATACAATCTCTTTGTGCAAAAACGTCCTGTTACCTATGGCTTATGCTAAAGATATTACATCTTTGAAGCCTAGTAACTCTGTGAGTAGTTGACAGATTCACTCTATTCCACTTCCCAGACCTAGCCGAAGCTCCCCTTCCATATATCCTGCAAACAGGATCCGGTTGGACAGACAGCGGTAACGCATATGGTGTTATTCTGATACCTTCCATTTTGTGGCATTATAGTCACAGGACACAACAGAAATTGACATGTATGATGATGTGCAGGCCCTGTAAGGGGCTGTTGAAGACAAGGAATTCCAATTCCAGGTGGAGTTACCCTACTTAGGGTGATTACTAGGTATTGGATCCCGGTATTTCTAATAAACTATTAGGGCTTTAGAGTATCTAAAGTCTCGGGCAAAGAGTGGTTTGATCATATTTGAACCAGTGGCAGATATCTCCAGAATTCTCCAATATTCTGAGCAGGAAGCTCATATTTCTCAAATTTTAAATTAAAAAACTTTTTCTAAGATTTTCTATTTACTTTGACTATAGTTCTATTTTGTTTTAATACTTACTATTTTTAAGGCAATTATATTTTACATCTATTTTTACCTTCCTTGACTAGTCATGTACTTAAGTAGTATTTTTGTTTAATTGTCATCCCGGCGGTGTCAATAGGTGTCGTCGACTGCCGGACCGCTGGAAGCACTGGTTCTTACTTTCTCGCGAAATTGGCTCCCCAACGATTCCCCGTAATCGTGCCGACCGGGACACCCCTTTGCACTCCCGAAGCACGAATATGCAGTACTATAGTACAGCAAGCGCGAAAGGCCGGGTCCACCAGTGGGGTACTATGCAGCCAGTTGCATTCCACGATATGCCCCAAGGTGTTTGTCCACTGTTACCGAGATTACCAGATGCTCTAATTTACCCCTGAAATGCGACGGATGACCTACGCCTAAGTTGAAGGATTTACCGTTGATCTGCCAAAATCCTCCAAAGGACAGGATGATACAAGTGCCAATAGCGGCGGGGGCGCTTGCTCCTGTGGCACCTGACAACCCCGTTTCCACCATTATCCGTCATCATTTCAACCTCCCGCATCCCCGCTCACTCTCCCCGCGTCTCCGCTTCCCTTTCCCCCCTCCCCAACACCTCCTTTTTGACACTCGTATCACTCTCAATCCTTTCTAGAATATTCGGTGAGCCACACCCTTATTCGAGTTCTCGTACATTCTGCTTCCACGAGCATCCTTACATACAGTTTATCGCGTCTGCTTATTCATCATTCGTGTTCCTGACTGTGCTTTGTTCGAGTCTTTAACCTATCAAACACGTTTCTACTTTATTCTCTCCCTTCTCCTTCGTCTCATTTCGTGAATGCCGGGGCTTGACTCCGTACCCCAAGAGGTGTCTTCTGTACATATTGATCAAAAAAGACACAACGTTTTCCCCCCTTCCCCTGCTTCTTTCAACCCCCCACCCCCTAACTTTACAAAATCATGTCCGGAGATACCACTCCGATACTGTCACCCCGTTCGACTCCTACAAAGCAAGATTCTCAAAATGTCTCGCCTCATACACTACCGATGACTCCCCCATCTCCGGCTTTCACCTTCACGCCCGGGGAATTGGGATACGTGTCTTCCGATACTTCGTCCGATTCTTCGGCTAGATCTTCACTTGCTCGGACAGACCTTGGAGGGCCACGAAGACGCGGTTTCATGCGACCTCAAGGGACTGAGTTCTCGACCTCGGCGCGGTCCAGGGAAAGTGTGATGGCGTTAGGGAGTATTGCTCATCTTCAATATTTTTTTGCAAAGACTGGGTTGCTGGATGGGAAAGGGGCGTAAGTTTTGAACCATGACTCTTTTATAGAGCTAGAGCTTCTCTGACTGTGTTCGCAGCGGACTACAAACGAAGAAGAGCTCGAATAGCTTGAAGGTGGACACAAGAGCCCAGGGGATCCCCCAGGACTCGACTTATTCCTCACTTCGATCGTCACCAGAACTTTTCATGCCTATGGAAGCTGACTTCTTCTCCGAGTCGCCCTCTGAGCTCGATGATTTCGCCTTTGATGAGTCGGTCATGCTGCCGCCTACTACCTCCACGTACAATCCTCAGACAAAGCATATCCCCCCAACGCCAAATCCTCAAGTTCTCAGAGAGCGATTGCGGGGAGCCTTAGCAGTAACGAAAAGTGCGTGGTTGCAGAGCTTTGCAATTCCGGGTGGGCCAGCGCGCAAGGAGAAGGTGGAGGGCGAAGAGGACCTTGCTCCGTTACCGCCCGGGTTCAGCGAACTTCATGGAAACGAATTGGTGGAGTTAGCAACTTCTGCTATTCGGGCGGCGAAGGCGTACTATTATACCACCGATACATCACTCTTGTCGACGCTGGACGATAGGTCGCTGAGGGAGGGATTTCTAACAACTTTAGACGCGCTCAAGAGGTTGGCGCAGAGAAAATTCGACGGCGGTGTGAAACCCGAGGAACGAAACGCCGTAGTCAAGTGGATCGACAGTGTGGAGCTATCATTGGCAGCAGAGGAAAACGCAATTGCAGACATGCGGAAGAAAGGCAGAGAATGGCTGGAAGGCAGCTGGGAAGGTCGGGAAATGGGTTTGCTCCCTAATCGCCCTAACCTTCCAATCCCCAAACCTGAGCCCAACACGCTAATCAGACCGCTATCAGACCGCTGTCATCTATTTCTAACTTACTTCGACTCCTCCCCCTCCCCCCTCCCCCCATTTGTGCCCACCGAACCAGCAACCCCGCTTCCAACACCCTTCCTCCTATCCCTCCGCTCAGGCCTCCGCCTGATTCTAATCCACAATGCCGTCGTCCGCCGCTCCAAGAGACCCTTTGGCCAGATCCCGAACTACCACAAAGAATTCAGCAAGCCCTACCGCTCAGCAGAGAATTTGCGCTTCTGGAAGAAGGCTGCGGAGATTCGGTGGGAGTTAAGGTTGAAGTTTGATGTCACGAGCGTGGTTAACGGAACTGAAGACGGGTGGCAGGGTTTCCAGAGGGATATTAGGTACTGGTGTGAGAAGGTGCTCGAGGAGATTAGGACGGATTGGGAGGTTGGTGATGTTGCGAGTGGGGGGGAGGAGAGGGAGGAAGGGCGTGTTAGGCAAACGAGGAGTGGGACGTTGGAAAGTTTGAACGTTGAGATTGGGGGGTATATTTCGTAGGCAGGTATCCGTTCGTTGAAGAGAAGGGTAGGGGAAAGCATACGAGGCATTCGGACCCGGGCACAAGGTCCTATCTTCATTTCATCTCCCCCACTCCTTCTCTCTTGCCTTTTTACTACTTCACCCTTACTTTTTCTTCCCCGACCCAACCCACCCAATTGTCACAGTAATTGACGTGGATGGGTGCGGTAGGGAGTTTTTGTTGCATAAGCCAGCCTTCCTTTTTTTCCTTTTCCCTATTTTTTCTTCCACCCCCTTCATTCTCGTCCATTAACTTATACCCTTCCTATTCCCCCTACCCATACATACCATACGTCATACGTCGCTCCGTTTTAATGTTTACTTGGCTTCTATTTTTTTCACCGTGCTCTTTTCCCTCAAAATGCTAACCTTATATACCATCTATCTATATTAGCGTGTTTTATATTGTATCGTATTGTAGGCTGTAAGTTGGGTTGTTCTTTGCGGGTTCTATATAGTGGGTTGAATTACCAGTTGAGGTGCGGTGTGCATGTTTGCATTTGATTTACCCTTTCAGTATGGAATGAATGCGATGCGTGATGGTAGTGCACAGTACTGTAACACGTCTGTAAACACACCAGTACCGTACTATACTGTATCGTACTCGCCAGTGTTGGCAGTGACGGGTGGTCACCCCTAAAGCTCAATCTGACTGGTCACCGATGAAGGGTGATGGGGTCATGACTGGTCCTGGCGATGTGAGGGTTAGGGTTTTCATAATGGGTGACGGGAATGATGGGGACTGTGATAATAAGACCGGTATCCCACAGAGAGACTCTGTTAGCAGGATGCCAAGCCTCCTAATCCCCCATCACCCCCCGTCACCCCTTCTTCCTGACCAGACACTTGGCACTGACAGGTCCTCGCAACACTGGTACTACTACTTGCTACAATATCAACGCACATACTGTGCTCAAGTCAGCGGATTAAGTACAGTATGCATGCACGAAACCGGAACACCTGCACCTCACCACTCGCCAGAGACCAGAATCCATCCATCACAATTACAAGAATGTTGGCCCGCCCGACGAGTGATATCGTCCTGGGAACCCGCACACAGTCGACAGTCTAGGCACCGTACCTGTCGTGATTAGTAGAAGGAAGTGATTGTCCCCCCCCCTACCATATATTGGAACCAAATCAAGGGTTCAGTGAAAAAAGCCATGTCCAAGTTGCAATTCTCCTAATCCCGAACCAGCATTGCAAGTTCCCCTTGCTAAAGGAAAAAATAGAAAGATATATATAAGAAAAATGAGATGTCGATGTTACAGGTTAATATTAATGTTGACTGCACTCCTG